ACCTTGAATGTATCTTTCAATGTCTTCCTTAGCTGAGACCCATTCATGGAGAGATCGGTCATTACCTGTCCAAGCAATCACTGTCCTGACTCCACTCCCCTTCAAGGAAATGGGTCCGAATGCATCCAGGTAGCTCTTCCTTTCGGGGGCTTCATTCCACAGCTGGACATAAACATGCCTTGCTCAGGAGGTGACTCTAGTGTCATCAGACTGCTCAAACAATGGTTTTTGTATTAGACCAAGGGGTTTGGTCAGATTTCCTTGATATGGCACAAGTTACTTTTTCCAGAGACTTTCAAAATGGTTAGATTTTGGTATATTGATCCCCGCCCCCCCCAGAGATTTATGACTATATGCATCTCATCAAAGGGCTAAGAAATATTTCTTGATTGTGTATTTCAATACCATGTGGATTTTGGGGTCGTATTTACATTTTTGGTCTGCAGTGACATGTCATCGAGGGCATGAGACCAGAGTGAAATTTATTCTATGATTTATGAGCTTAGGGGCCTGGAAAATGAGAACCAATTCCCATGCCTCAGGGAGCTCCGGGGGCTCAAGAAAGGCTGAAGCTGGTGATGCCTCCCAGTCCCCTGGCTGGTAAGGAAGTGACAAGTACAAGGCTGTAGGGAAAGATGTGATGAGGTTAGTTTTAGATACGTTTAATTCGCTGCACCTGAGGAGCATCTAGGACCTATCCGGGAGTAGCATCCAGAGCTCAGAAGTCACAGATTTTGGAGTTATCACTAAATAGTGATATCTGAAACTCTGGGCATGGCTCAGAGCACTCAAAGGGGAGGAATGTGGAATGAGAAAATAGGAGGGTTGAGTACAGAATGTCTGGAAACACCATAATTTAGGGGCTGGCAACAGAAGAGGAGCCAGCCAAGAAACAGAACGGGACAGAGGGATGTGACAAAGGCACCATGGAAAACGGGCAGCACGATTGGCAGTCTTAAATGTTACATAGAAGACTGAGCAGCCGAGGAGTGGAAGCGGCCCTGCAGAAAAATTACTAGAAGGAAATACATAAAAATATCAACATGTCTGTTCTTGACTGGGGAGATTTCAGGTAGCGGATTTTCTTCTTTCAACTTTTCTGTATTTTCTGCATTCTGTACAATAAACATAGATTGCATTTATATATAAAAAATACTCTAATAAAGTCTACACTATTTTATGAGCACTAAGGGCAAGTCATTATTAATTTACAAGTATTTGAGTGCCCATGTGCTGGGCACCGTGCTAAGGATAAAACAATGAACACGGGGATGGCTCTGTTTTTCACAAAAAGGAACGGCAGCTGGTTTGACAAGGGAAGCGGTGAGGGCTCGTGGGGTCCAATAGTAGGAGATGCCGCTGGAAAAGCAGTTTGGTGCCAGAGTATAATGGAGTTTATTTGGGGGCGAAGCTAGGATTGGAACTGAGCCTTCTGAAGTTAATTTTTTATTTAATTTGGACAGCAGTGTGGCTGCTCGCCTGGAGAGGTCGGAGTTGGAAGACAGGGAGCAGGGCCACTGCAATAGCTGAATGAAGCCAGGCGGTGGGGATGGAAAAAGGTCCAGGTCCAGAGATATCTGAGGGCAGCATCAACAGGTCGATGGGGTCCTGCTAATTGGAAGTGCAGCAGGTGCTTGAATAACATCGTTTGTTTCAATGTTGTTTTGTTCTAACATTGATGAGATGCCGCAGGAACTTAACCCGTTTCTATCAATTAGCCTATGATAAAAGTGGTTTTACACGGTTTGTTTTCTTTTTAAAATGTTTATTTATTGATTTGAGGCGCGTGCGAGGGTGGGGGGAGGAAGGAGGGTAAAAGAGAGAAACATCGATTTGTTGTTCTGCTTATTTATGCTTTTCATTGGTTGCTTCTTGTATGTGCCCTGACCAAGGACGGAACCGGCAACCCTGGCGAATCGAGAGGATGCTCTGACCCACTGAACACCCAGCCAGGGCCTTACAAGTAGTTTCACTGAAACTCTCAGAACCCCTCCACGATGCCGTTACTGAGGAATTCTTGTATGTTGGGGGGAGGGAGACCTCAAGAATGACTACTGGGTTTTAAACATGGGTGCATGGGTGGGTAGCATGACAACTATCCTACAGAGTTGGTATATAGTGCCTCCGATTGCCTGCAGTGGCCAGTGCTACAGGACAAAACAAGGGAGTGGCTGTGTCAGATTGGATTATATAAAAGGGGAGGAGCCGTGTGCATGTGATATCTGTCTGAGCCGCCCACAAAACCGAATCCTAACCCCCATCCGTCTCCTCCCTGCATCTGCGTATTTGGGCACTTTACTTTTCCCAGGCCATGGGAGTCAGTTCTTCTGTGACAAAGAGGGGTGCGGGGAGTGACTATTTCAGAAAAGTGTTTACATCTAAATAGCTGTGGCCTCCCGGGAAAGGACCTGCTCTGGGTGGAGAAGCTTGGGAGAAGCCCGATGAAACTTCCAGTGGGGAAGAAACAGATATAATTAGATGAGCATCATTTGTAAAGCAAGAGGCCAAACCCCAGCAGGTCCCACGTGCACTGTGTAAGTGTGAGCTATGCAGGCACCTCAAGGTGAGGGCGCCTCCCCTATCCTGGCACTCTCATGACCACCATTTCACAGTACTGAAGACTGAGGCCTGGGGCGGAGATGTCCAGCACTAAGTTATGGGGGGGCCTCACTGGACACTGGCTGGAAGTACCACCGTATAAAGCCTCTTTTCTGGGCCTGCCACGACCAAGACATTTTTGCGCAAAATCAACTCACACCCTTGCCCATGTCCTCCTGAAATAAGGTAACTCCTGTGGCACAGGAGACAGCTGGGTCTGGGAGAGTGCCACCGCCCCCTGACCAGGGGCAGGCTTTCCTTATCGCTCTGGGCGGGGCACTGGGCTCCGGGTGGTGTCGCAGATGGCGGCAGCCCCTCCAATGGTTACACCCCTCCACCGCCATCGATAAGGGTTCAGAGACGGTTTTCAGGACGCCAGCCGCCTGGCCCAGAGCTCGCACGAACACCTAAGGATCGCTGCCTCGTCAGTGCATTGTCCCTTCGAGGGGGCAGTGCCACCGAGTGACCGTCGCTCGGAGGAGCGCGCCGCTGAACGCCAGGTCCCCCTGCCCCCTGACCGCACGGCCGGCGAGAGCCCCTCTGGCGCCCCGGGACGCGCTCCTGCCCCCTCCCGGCCCACCTGCGGGCGCCCCGAGGCTGGGGAGGCAGGTGCCCGCCTT